TTAAAATAACTCAAAAATTTAATCTTTAATCACAAAATTGAAAAATCAGTTTTTGACACACTAATATACACAATTAATATAATTAAACCGGTTTAATTCTTGAGGTCGTTACAAGAAGTCACAAGGTTAGTGTTCTTTGAACAATGAGCGGTCTTTTTTGCTCCTCAATTTCTAAAAGTCCGTCTGTGTTCCTCCACTTTGAACCGGTTTGCCCCTTATGTGGTGTGATTGTACGGTTTTGTCCTATGTTTTTACTCCTTCATTTGTTCTTGGTTGCGCAGTTTTGGTCATTTCGGTGCAAATGAAGCTTCTAAGATTTTTTTTCCTCTCCTCTTTGTGTGAAGTGCAGCTGGCATGCCCTTAAATTTTTTCTCCTTTCTTCTCTCTGTGTGTTGTTCTTTTGCTCTTTTCGGTTCTACAGCTTTCTTTTCCTTTCGTTTTATTCCATTTTTTCTGGTATTTAGCATAAATCCTTCAATAATTTAGTTGACAACTAAGGACATTGTTGAGTCATATTTCAATTATTTATGATATATGTTGTTAACAACAAAAAACAAATACCTGAACCTGATTTTTGATATATGATTTTCTGATTTCTTCTTTTCTGTAAGTCCTGAAACTATTTTCTTTACATATGTCCCACCTCACCTGTCTATTTTCTTTGTTCTCCAATTTCTTTTTTTTTTCATTTCATTATTGTTTTCAATTTTTGGTATTTTAGATAAATCCTTCAATAATTTAATTGGCAGTAAAGGATATTGTTGAGTCATATTTCAATTATTTATGATATATGTTGTTAGTAATAGAAGACAAATACCTGGACCAAATTTGTAATATATGATTTTCTGATTTTTGATTTTTCTATTGTATTCCTTAGTTTCTTTAGCTATGCCTCACCTTATCTATTTGTTTCATTTTTTCTCATGTTTCTGTCTTCTATATTTCATTACTCTTTTTATTTTTTTTGGTATTCTGCATAAATTATGCAATAATTTAGTTCGGTGCCAAGGACATTGCTAAGTGATATTTTAGTTATTTATATTTATATTTATGTAATTTCTTTTTCCCACTTATTCAATTGATGAATGGAAGATCGTCTTCTCAGTATATACAGACGAAAAATATGTATATGATGTAATTATTAAAGTAATGTATTGTAAACAACGTTTGTTGTTATTTCTTTTTTAGAGTAGAGTTATCATAATATGTATTCATTAAATGACAATAAATTTTGTTGTATTTCAGTTAATTGAAGCATATTTGGCGTTTTGTTCAAGCCTGTATTCTTGAACAAAAAAAAGCACAATTTATATACGATAAACTATTGAATAGTGCAAACTTTACTCAAATACAAAAGTGAGACTTTGAACGCCAAAGATAAGCTTTGCGTGTTTTATTTGTATTTTACGTAAAAGTTAGATACATCTTTAATATATTTCTTTACAGAGATAATGTATGAAAAACGATTAATTTCTATTTAAATTACTAGAAAAAACAAAGTAAAATTTTATGAATTGATCTAAAATTTTAAACAGTTGAACTTATAAAGTATTTCTTTATAATTTACCATAAAATTTATATATGGCTTTTTTACCATTTAGGTAAATATCGTTATAAAAAAAGAATAACAATAGGAGAAAAAAAAACTCTTAATACAAACAGTTTTATTAATATTAATTACAATATTTATCCAATAATGCTAATCTATATTTTTATTATATAATCATAATTTAACATAAATTTCAATAAATAAAATATCAACAATAAATGTTTTATAATTCACTTAAAAAAGATAAATAAATATAAAAATCCTATATGTAACGTTTTAATAAAATGTGTTCTCATATAAGATAAAATGAATTGTAATAATAATGATAGATTAATAATGTAACAAAAGACTGCATTGTGTTTAGTTAAACTTTTATCTTAAATATGAACATTATTAGCTTAAATAAATATACACTTTTTAGTGATGTAAAAATAAAATAAAAAAGGTTATATTTTCACTTTATTAATTTCTTTATAATTTTTTGTTATATTAGTTCCTACAATGTTGTTATTATCAATAAAAGCTCTTTCTCTATTTTTTTAATTAAACATTAAAAAAATATTTAGTAAACATATTTTCAGAATATATTTTAATATATGTATAACCATAATGTTAAAAAATATATTAATATAAATATCTTAGTATAACAAAAAAGTAAATTATCTCTAATAAAACAAATATCATAATTCATAAACCTTAATAATTACTCTAAATTAAAATAATTATTATTACAAAATTATATATTTACCACGTAAATAATATAAAAGATAGATAATATTATATATTAATATAATATATTAATATTATATATTAACATTATATATTAATATAAAATTTAGCATAATTTTTATCTACTTATAAGTTAGGTTTATAATTGACAGTCACAATTCAATAAAAAAAGTATACAAACAAAATATAAATAATATATTTATTAATATTTAAGTATAAAAAGTACATAGATTTTGAAAGTTTTATTCATAAAATTTATTCTCATAATTTAACATAATCTGTTTATTAAATGTAATAATATATAAAATTAAATATAATAATAAAGATCATATAATAATATAAAAATATAAATTATCTTTAATAAAACTATTATCTTAAATACAAATATTAACTTTTAGCGAAATGAAATATAGTTTTTTAATAATCTAAGATTAAATAAAAAACTTAATTTTTTATTTCATTAATTTTTTCATAATTTGTTCCTTTATTAGTTTTTATTATGTTATTATCTTTAAGAATTGTTTTTTTTCCTATTCACTCTTTTCTTAGATATTGAAATAAATATTTGTTAATTATATAATGGGAACATATTAAAATGTTTATGTCAACAAGATATTAAAAGATATATTAATATAACAATTCAAAAAATTAAACTTTCATAAAATTTATTTCCATAATTTAGCATAAACTATTTAATTCTATACAAAAATAATAAAACTAAGTGTAATAATAAAAATTAATTAATAATGTAATAAAAGATTAAATGTTTATATAAACATGATATTAAAAGATATATTAATGTAAGAATTATACATGTTTTAATATAGAATAAATAAAACAAAGTGTAATAATAAAGATGAAATAATAATATAATTAAAAATACATTATCTTTAATAAAACTCTCATCTTAAATACAAAAAACATGTTTTTACTAAATTGAATATAGTTTTCTTCACAATGTAAGATTAAATAAAAAAAAATGGTATGTTTTTAATTTGGCTCTTTTGTTAAATATTCAAAGAAATATTTGATAAATATATTTTCGGAGCATATTAAAATATTTATGTGAGTCTAATATTAAAAAATACATCAATAAAACCTTTAAGTTTAATAAAACCTTTACCTTTGAGCATAATATTAAATGATAGATATATTATGTGAGCATAATATTAAAATATTTATATTAAGATAAATTAATAATATAATAAAAAGTTAAATTATCTGTAATAAACCTTTACCTTAAATGTGCATACTAATTTTTAATTAAAATAAATACATTTTCTTAAACTATCTAAGGAAAAAAAATCTCCATATATTTATTATGAATAATAAAATTCAAAGTTAAAGTATTTGTTGTTTATATACATAATAAGAGTAAAATAAATAAATAAAATAAATTCTTACCTTTCAAATTATTAAAAAAAAAATTTTGTGTATTATATAAATAATATATTTTGAAATAGAAATCTTCTAAATATTCATTTATTAATATATGTTTTGAAATTTTAAAATATTTATTTGCTGCTAATATATTGTTTATCCTATTACTATTGTTTTTCATACTGCTTACGGATAATGAAAATGAAAAGAATGTTGGACTAAATTATTGATTATCAAAAAAGTTCAAAGCGTGTTAAGAATTAGGAAAACATCAAAGATCAAACTACAACAATCACGTACAAAAAATGTAACCGCATATCGAATTAGATATATACAATGGTCTGTACTTTCAACAGTAGTCAGATCCGTTTTGGATCAACATTTCAACATTTAAATACAACATCAGTTGAACCAAGTAATTTATAAACTTTAATTATTTTTTCCATAACTATTAACCTAATTGTTTTTTTACTAATTATTATATTTTTAATGCAACTTCAAATTTAGGTAAAATTAATGAGTATATTGATCTTGGAGATTGTAAATAAACATGTCAACATTGTAGAGCCTTATTTTGGAACAATGAATGAACAGAAAAATATCCATATAGATATTTTTTATGTTGCCAAAATGGAAAAATTAATTTACCATTTAAAAAAAACACCACTAATTTTAGATGAATTATTAAATTATTATGGTGAAATTTTAAGCACACATTTCAAAAAAAAAATATTAGAATGTATAATTCTATGTTTTCTTTTACTTCATTTGGAGCAAATATTGAATCAAATATTAATAAAATATTGGGACTTTATATATTTAAAATTAATAGTTAAATATATTATTTAATGGGATCTTCACTTCCAGTTGATAATAATTTTCTAAAATTTACACAATTATATATTTATGATACAAAAAATGAAAAAAGAAACTAATAATGATGTTAGGTGAAACAAATACATTAGTTAAATTATTTAGAATTGTTAAGATTAATAAGCAGATGAAAAGAAGATAGTACACAATATAATCTTTTATAAAGAATTTAATTTTTTTATTACAATATTTTTTTTCTCATATACACGTGAAATAAACACTCTTACCTAGCATGAATTGACTCACAGTTTTATCACTCCCCAAAACGACCAATTGTATATCAAAACGTAATAAAGTAAGTGCAGAAGCCCCAGCCGTCAGATTACAAGAGATTAATCAAAGCCGGTAGTCGGTGGGTTTTATCCAGAACTACCGTTAGCAGTAAATAACAGCGGCTAGAGAGAGAGAGAGAGAGAGAGAAGAAGAGAAAAGAAAAGGCCTTTGTTTTCCCAGAAAAGAAAACAAACAAATAAGAAAGAAAATAGCCAAACAAGGGCTGGAAAATTTCGTTTTTAGTCCCCCTTTTTTTTTTTTTTTTTTTTTTTTTTTTTTTGTAAATTCGGATCTGAAAAGCTGAATATCCGGACCTTGAACTCCCGGAAACACGACTGAAAACCCTAGCGCCACCATCTTCTCCAGCCGACGGTGACAGGTTTCTCTCTTGGGATTGTCACATTTTTCGATTTTCTCAGTTTGTATTTTCCATTTTCTCACGCCTTTTCTCTCTTCTTTTAGCGGCGCAAGATCGGACGGAACTCGGAGGATTTTCTCCAGCTAGAGCTTCGCTTTCGCCTTCTATTAGGTCAGTTCTTTTTTGGTTGTTTAAAATTAGTTGTGGAATATCTGTTTGGCAGCGGAGAAAATTTCGCGGGAAAGTAGGTGAAAAAGAAAGTTGGAGAAAATTGTCATCTCTGTTTGTAGGAAATTAGGTGCTCAAGGAAAGAAAATATTTCCTTCGTTTCCGCTGAATAGAGCTGTGACGCACGATAGAGGTTTCCATGGGAGCGTGTTTAGAATTATCCTTTTTATTTTTTGGTGGCGAAATGAGAAATTTTAGTTGCAAATAAGCTGGAAAAGAACCTAACAACTTCTGTTATTAAGAATTCTAGGTTTTGTTGCCATTTTTTGTGTGTGTTCAAAAGTGAGAAAATTATTTATTATTTTGGCATCTTTACGCAAACTTCACCTGTTATTTTGGTAATTGCTAGTGTGAATTTTGATGTTCTACTCCCATTAATTTAGTTATTTGAAGCTGATATTATGTAACTTATTGCATAATCCAGTTAATATTGCAATATGCTGATTGTTAAGAAACCCATTTGCTTAAGTGTTACAGCTAGAAAAACTAAGTGGCTATCAATCTTCAGTATTATTCCTAATTCACCAAGATGCATTTTTTGAACCTAATTTCTGAAAAGATTTTAAGCTTTTTGAGAAGGGTTTACGCAATTTCAGTTTTTGGATTCTACGAACTAATGCAGTAATAGTTGTTATGTTAAAATTTTCCACTTGGAACTGTACGCAACTTTGTTTTATCTATTTTTATTCTTTTAATTTTTTTCAGTCTTAAAAAGATATCACACTCTTCAGGATGGTATAGTTAGCTGGGAAAATCATGGCTTCCAAAGGTCCAAGGTCTAAGCTTGATCATGAATCGAGAGCTAAGCGCCAAAAGGTTGGTTTATGAAGTTTGTGTTTATGGTTTGCTATTCTGTTCATTGGCTCTTTTTGCCCCCTCACCAAAGAGTCTATATTTCCTTTTTATATTTTAGCGAGTCAATATAATGTCACAATTCTCAATGTCTTTTGGTACTTTCTTAATCATCATCAACTCTCTACACCTTGATCTAGTTGTGTATGACCTGAATATCCATCTGTTACAAACTTTGATTAGAATGTAAAGCTAGAGAAAATTAATGACGTGGAATGACATCTTGAATTCATGCTCCTACTTGATGATATTCAAGCAGCTAGGGACTGTCCACAATTCTAACGTTTTCATGTAATCTCTTTCTGACTCTTTAATGGACTTGCTGTGTCAGGCCCTTGAAGCTCCCCGAGAACCGCGTCGCCCAAAAACACATTGGGATCATGTTTTAGAGGAGATGGTTTGGCTTTCAAAGGTAGGTAACCAAATAGTTCTAATATACTGGCTTTATTTCCTTTCTTAAACGTTGTTCTATTAACTTGGTTAAAAAAATTCTCATGCTTTTTTTTTTTCGTATGACATGACAAATGGATGTCGAAATGTCAGTTAGGCTTCTTTTTTATTTTCTTGCTTATGAAACTGGTGATTATCAGGACTTTGAGTCGGAGAGAAAATGGAAATTGGCTCAGGCGAAGAAAGTTGCTTTGAAAGCCAGTAAGGGAATGTTGGATCAGGCTACAAGGGGTGAAAAGAAATTGAAGGTTCTGCCTATTTCTTTGGTATAGGAGTATTTTTGTTGCAGTGCTGCTTTCCAATAACCAGAATTGTGTACTTAATTTTTGTAGGAAGAAGAGCAGCGGTTAAAAAAAGTTGCACTCAACATTTCAAAGGATGTGAAGAAATTCTGGCTCAAAATTGAAAAATTGGCAAGTTCATCATTAGTTCCTTACCTTTATGCGTCAAATTCAATTTATTTTCTCTGTGTTCAATATTTGAGAATTTTGAAATCACTCTTCCCATGCTGGGATCCAGGTGCTTTACAAGCATCAGATGGAGGTTGATGAGAAAAAGAAAAAAACACTTGATAAACAGCTCGAGTTTCTTTTGGGTCAAACTGAGAGGTGAGTCCTTGATTTTCTTGTTTTGAATAGTGTATTTCTTGTTGTGTTCTGCATGCGACATTCAATTTCTGGCTGTACATTTCCAGGCAAACTGGTATTACATTATGTATTGCATGATTTTTAGGTACTCGACAATGTTAGCCGAAAATCTTGTGGACAATTACAAGCCTGCGCAGCAACACCCTGTACAAGATCAATTGAGTATTAAACATAAAGAAGTGGATGAGAACGATACCAATGAATCTTCAGAGCTGAATGCTGGTAAGTAAAAGCTTGTGGTTTCATTTTGCTATCTAATTTGTTTTGAAGAAAGGTACTCTCTGGAAATGAAAATTTCGTACATTTGTGACAGAACCTCAGTCAGATGCAGCAGATGTTGACGAGGATTATGATATACAGTCAGATGATGATTCAGTACGTTTTTCCTGTCCTTTTCTTTCCTATGATGTCATAATATCCCTTTTGAATTCCAATAGCATAGTGTTATTTACTTTGTAATATCTGAACCTTGATTTCAAAAAATCTTTGTAACGTGAAAACATTTCTTCTCCAATATTAGAAAAGACCAAAGAGTTGGGGTTGCTTTTTTTTTTTCTTTTTTTTTTTAAATTTTTTATTCAAGATGCTTGTACTGCAGCCAATGCCAGCAAAGATTGTTGGTAGCCTTTTCTGATTATAATTTTTTGTTTTCCGGTGGGTTATAATGTAGTTTACTGGCATGACATAGATTTCACATGATAAAAACCTTCGTGTGAATTGATGTCTATACTCTTGCCTTGCCACTGGGGTTATTGGAGAATGATGGAAAATCATGAAGTTTTGGAGTTTTTAGCGTTAAAAAAAAAAAAAAAAAAAAAAACCATGAGAAAAAAGAAGAGTCGATGGGGTGGTTGGATTTGGGGTTAAAAAGGATGGAGAGTATTTCTCTTACTGCTGCATGTGTGATAGCTGATATTAATGATCATCCCAAGTACGACCACATGGTATTCTTATTTTTCCTTACTTCACAACCTTACATAAGAATAGATCAGTAGAATCTTGGCAGATGAATGTGGGTTGAGAGAGAAGTTTTCTTGAAAAAGTGGTTTAGCACTGCGAAAGTTGGCCCCATTCTTCACGTCCAGTAACCAGTGATTCAAGCATAGCTGCATAAATAAGCTGACACATCATGACCTTTCCAATTATGCAACCAAAGGAACACAATTGTCTAGTAGGAAAACTTGCATAAAATGAAGTAAAACCTAAAAGGGATCTCTGAGGACAGTAAGATAGGGAATAAATAACTCATAATCCTTGCTGACACTAACTGAAATTTTTTCTTATCCTCGTGATCCATTGCAATTTGCCTTGTAAGTTTTTCTGCATCCATTTGTACTTAAATTGTGTGCATATTTAACAAATTTCTTGTGTGATTGTGCTGCTTTAGGAAGATGATGAGCAAACATTAGAGGAAGATGAGGCTCGCATAACTGAAGAAGAAAGACAAGAAGAACTGGTTGCTTTGCAAAATGAAATAGATCTTCCACTTGAGGAGCTACTCAAACGTTATACTAGGGACAAAAGTAAGTAGCAAACAGTTTTAGCATTTTATTATGATTTATGTGTACCTCGCCTTCATTGAGTTAATCTGTTTTGTGTATGTGTTTGAGTGTGTGTCTTTGTACTCTGCAACTTAATCTCTCTCTCTCTCTCTCTCTCTCAACGTATGTGCAGATAGCAGAGACAGCAGTCCATTGAAGGATGAAGAGGGGGATGAATTAGCCGTTATGGACAGAGATCGTGGTATGTTTAAGCAAATGGTGATGCATATGTTAATTTTGGGTTGTATGATTGTATGTTTGATGACGTCATGAATTTATACTTTTGCAGATAGTAAGAACGAACTTTCTACAGCCACTAAAATTAAGAAAAACAACTCTGTTGGATCCACTGGTCGTCGTTGTGTAAGTTGTATGTGTTTATTTGCCATTGTTGAATTGCTGATAATGTTGAGGGCTTGGCTTAACAGTTCTTTTCTAATTTCAGAGGGTGAGTAACGGAGGCTTTTCAATTTTGGAAAACCATTTATCAGAAGTTGAGACGCATAAAGGGGAAAATCTTTCTGAAGATTCTGATGAGTTAGCCAAAGAACAAGTGGTGTATGATTTTAATGATGAAGGGGTAGGAAAAACTATTTTAATTGTTTGTGTTCATCCCTTTGCCTTTCCAAGTAATGGGGCAAAGGTATCTGTGATGGATTCTTTTTTTCTTTTTGTTTTTCCCTGATTTTTTATTTGTAAGGGGTGGTTTCCTTGAATTTTACTTGCTGGACCAGATGCTTCAGGGCAGATTGTTTTATAATGGGAAATTGATAGTTCTGGTTTATGTTATTTCTGAAGTACTAGCGAAGAAAAGTAATATAATTGTCTTTACAATTTTTTGTGATACAATATATTTAAACGGGGTCAAGTACATTTGTCTTAATTCGACGCGTTGGATTTCTCTTTTTTGGCTTGACATTTTGTATACGTGTGTGTTATGTTCCCATTGCATTGATAGAAAAATTGCAGAGTTAGCTATTTGGTGACATAGTTTATTAAACTATGCAGGGAGATGGTGACTTTATTCTTGCTGCCATAGAAGAAAAGGTAGGAACTTGGATACACGCTTCTTGTCACCATATCCTCTGATGCTGTCCCTCCTAGTTGTCCTGTTAAAGCTTGTCTGTTAGATTTGAGGGTTTAAGGAAATTCATCTTTTCTTCTTTCAATTTAAATATGCCTCTCAATATATCTATTGTTCTGAAGCATGTAAAGAATGCTCTTAATTTGGTGTTCTTTGGTAGTATTCTATGAAGTTCCAACAATATTTTGCATCTCGTCAAAATGGTTTTCATAGTTGCAATTTAAGTTTGGCTAATAATCGATTGACGCTTACTTTTCACAACTAATAATTGATTTGGACATTTCATGTTCAGGATGATGAGACAACCTTGTTAGAAGAGGAGGAATTTGCAAAAGCAGATTCCAATGACCCAATAGATGAGGTGAGATACTACATAAATGTGCTTGTGAGGAGATTTAGAGCATATATTATTGCGACGACTTTTGGATTCTGGTCCAACTTGTTCATTATTTCTATTATCTCTTGTCGTTTTGCAGATTGCATTGCTGCAAAAGGAGAGTGAAATACCTATAGAAGAACTACTTGCAAGGTATAAAAAGGTAAGCTCAATGTTTACTTCTGCTTATTGTTCACATAGCTCTATGCCTCTTATCACGCATGATTTTTGTTCCATCATCTTTCTCTTTTTGACAGAACTTCAATGATGAGGAAGACGTGGATGACGAATCTGAGTATGCCTCTGCTTTGTCGGATGGGTTTGCAGATTCTCCATCACTTGAAGGCTTTGAACAGAAGCAGCAGGTTGATTCTACGGATGAAGACATTGAACAGAAGCAGTGCAGTACTTCTGTGGATGGAGACGCTCAATCTGGTGAACACCAGCCAGGTGCACACTCACCTATGGATGAAGAGCAAGCCAAACATGATATGGTATCTGAAGGAGAAAGGGAGAGTGAGAATATAATTTTTGATGCAGCTGCTGCTGCAAGATCAGCGCAACCAACAGGAAACACCTTTTCCACAACAAAAGTGCGTACAAAGTTTCCTTTTCTTCTAAAGTTCCCTCTTCGTGAGTATCAACACATTGGCTTGGATTGGCTTGTCACAATGTATGAGAAAAGGCTGAATGGGATTCTAGCAGATGAGATGGGGCTTGGAAAGACGATTATGACTATTGCTTTGTTGGCACACCTAGCATGTGAGAAGGGAATATGGGGTCCACATCTTATTGTGGTCCCAACAAGTGTAATGCTAAATTGGGAGACTGAGTTTCTTAAATGGTGTCCTGCTTTTAAAATTTTGACATATTTCGGAAGTGCAAAAGAGCGAAAATTGAAGAGGCAAGGCTGGTTGAAGCCCAACTCATTTCATGTATGCATAACAACTTACAGACTGGTCATTCAAGATTCAAAAGTTTTCAAGCGTAAGAAGTGGAAGTACTTGATATTAGATGAGGCTCATCTGATTAAAAATTGGAAGTCTCAAAGATGGCAAACCCTTTTGAACTTCAATTCAAAGCGGCGTATTTTATTAACTGGTACTCCACTGCAGAATGATCTCATGGAACTCTGGTCACTAATGCATTTCTTGATGCCTCACATTTTTCAGTCTCATCAGGAATTCAAAGATTGGTTTTGTAATCCAATATCAGGGATGGTAGAGGGACAAGAAAAAGTAAATAAAGAAGTGGTTGACCGTCTACATAATGTCCTTCGCCCATTTATACTCCGGCGTTTGAAGCGAGATGTGGAGAAGCAGCTCCCTATGAAACACGAGCATGTAATTTACTGTAGATTATCCAAGAGGCAGCGCAACTTATATGAAGATTTCATTGCCAGCTCAGAAACACAAGCTACTCTAGCGAGTGCAAACTTTTTTGGGATGATTAGTATTATAATGCAACTTCGCAAAGTATGCAATCATCCTGACTTGTTTGAAGGTCGTCCAATTGTCAGTTCTTTTGATATGGCTGGTATTGACATTCAATTGTGTTCTTCTATTTGTTCAATACTTTCACCTGGCCCATTTTCAGGAGTTGACCTTAGGGACTTGGGTTTTTTGTTTACTGATCTTGATTATAGCATGACTTCTTGGGAGAGTGATGAAGTTAAAGCTCTTGCTACCCCCTCAAATTTGATCAAAGAGCGTGCTAACCAGATTAAGATTGAAGAAATTGGGTTTGGATTTAAAAATCGCAAGTTGCATGGATCAAATGTTTTTGAGGAGATCCGAAAGGCAATTATGGAGGAGAGGCTAAAAGAAGCAAAGGAACGTGCAGCAGCCATTGCATGGTGGAATTCTTTGAGGTGTGAGAAAAAACCCTTGTACTCAACAACCCTGAGGGATCTTGTCACAGTAGACCATCCTGTTTATGATATTCACCGTCATAAGGCAAATCCATTGTCCTATATGTATTCCACAAAGCTTGCTGAGATTGTGTTGTCACCAGTTGAATGCTTCCATAAAATGATCAACCTGGTGGAAAGTTTCATGTTTGCAATCCCAGCAGCGCGAGTTCCACCACCTGTATGCTGGTGCAGTAGATCAGGGAGTTCTGCATTTCTCGACCCAACTTATAAGCAGAAGTGCACCAAAGTCTTGTCTCCACTACTGTCTCCTTTCAGACCTGCTATCGTTCGGAGGCAAGTATATTTCCCTGACAGGCGACTTATACAGTTTGATTGTGGTAAATTGCAAGAGCTCGCAATTTTGCTTAGAAGATTGAAATCAGAAGGTCACCGGGCATTAATATTCACTCAAATGACAAAGATGCTTGATGTTTTGGAGGCTTTTATAAATTTGTATGGTTACACTTACATGCGCTTAGATGGATCCACTCAGCCTGAAGAGAGGCAAACTTTGATGCAAAGATTTAATACGAATCCAAAAATATTTCTTTTCATCTTGTCAACTCGTAGTGGGGGTGTTGGCATCAACCTGGTTGGAGCAGATACGGTTATCTTTTATGATAGTGACTGGAATCCTGCTATGGACCAACAAGCTCAAGATCGATGCCACCGAATCGGACAAACACGCGAAGTGCATATTTACCGATTGATCAGTGAGAGCACCATTGAAGAAAATATTTTGAAGAAAGCAAATCAAAAGCGTGCTTTAGATGATCTAGTGATACAGAGTGGGGGCTACAACACTGAATTTTTCAAGAAGCTTGATCCTATGGAGCTGTTTTCTGGTCATAGATCTCTTCCCATCAAAAATATTCAGAAGGAGAAAAATGTCAATGGAAATGAGCTTTCTCTATCCAATGCAGATGTGGAGGCTGCTTTGAAATCTGCAGAAGATGAAGCAGACTACATGGCGTTAAAGAAAGTTGAGCAGGAAGAAGAGGTTGACAACCAAGAGTTCACTGAAGAAGCTATTGGGAGACTGGAAGATGACGAGTTGGCAAATGAGGATGATGTGAAGGTTGATGAACCTGGAGATCAGAGTGGCATGATGATAGCTTCGAACAAAGAAACTGGTTTGGTGATTAATGGGAGTGATACTAATGAAGAAAAGGCTCTTAAAACTGGTAGGGATGATGATGTTGACATGTTGGCTGATGTAAAACAAATGGCTGCAGCAGCTGCAGCAGCAGGACAAACAATCTCTTCCTTTGAGAATCAGTTGCGCCCAATAGATAGGTATGCAATTCGCTTTCTAGAATTATGGGACCCAATTATAGACAAGACGGCAGTGCAATCTCAAGTTACATACGAGGAAAAAGAATGGGAACTGGATCGCATTGAGAAGTACAAGGAGGAAATGGAAGCTGAGATTGATGAAGATGAGGAGCCTTTTGTGTATGAAAGTAAGTGCCCTTTTGTTTCTTTTTTCTTATTCCCCCCTATAGCTGGATGCCTGAAGCGATTCTTGAGCAGCCATTACATAGAATATTTTGGATTTTATTCAATCCTGGTTTGATTAGCTCATGATGATCTTACCATGAATCATCAAAATTTCAGCCCTATTTGCAGAGTTTTGTTTGTTTAAGACATTAATCGAGAAAAAAATCTTACAATCACTTTAAACTTAATATGATTGGTCCATGTCATTCCTGAATGACGTGCTTAGACTTAGCCCATTACTTCTCCATGTAGGATGGGATGCCGATTTTGCAACTGAGGCATATCGACAGCAGGTTGAAGCCTTGGCTCAACATCAGGTTTTAGAATACTCCTTTATTGCACTTTTTTTTTTAATGTTTTGGTAATGTGGATTAAGTGACCTTTTCGTTAAATTGTTACAGTTGATGGAGGAACTGGAATGTGAGGCTAAGGAGAGGGAAGATGAAGAGGCTGAAAACTGTGATTCTATGAAGTAAGACTTATCTGATCTCTCTATTTCTCTCCTCTTCTTTCCCCCAAGATAACTAAAGTAGCATATTTGCTATAGTAATAGAAGGAAAAGTCCAACCTTAGTCCTTCTCTCCTTTTCAATGAACTGAAGCTTTAATGGGAAGTTATGTAATTGTTCCATTTGAGGAAGAGGTTGATTTTCTTGAAGAGGAAACTGTAATGCGAGAGTTCGTTCGTTCTTCACTGAATTATTGCTCCGATGCTACTCTGTAGAACTCCAGTTGAAATTTGCCAGTTTCCTTTAGTGCAATTTCTTTAGGCTTGGGATACATATTAGTTCTTTCTTTCTTTTTTTTTTTTTTTTTTTTTTTTTTTTAATTATATGTTTTGTCAGAAGGTTTTTGTGTTATGTTGTTTCGCCAATGAACAGACCCCCCCTAAATCAAGTTGTTTAGGGGCCTATTTGAACAGAAATTTAAATTTCGTAGCAGGAATGAGATGAGAAGTGATCCTAAACCTAAGGCCAAGAAGAAACCGAAGAAGGCGAAGTTCAAATCCTTAAAGAAAGGATCATTAGCTTCTGAATCAAAATCTGTGAAAGAAGCTATGTCCATAGATGAAGATAGTGTTTCTCATGAGATGCTCACCTTTTCAGATACAGCATCCCCTCATTCAATTGCGCAGAAAAAACGTAAAAAGGCTGAAACTGCAACAGATGGTGATGAAGAGAAGACCTCCAAGAAAAAGTCTAAGAAACTCAAGAAGGCTCCTGTTCAGATTTGTCCTCTGGACCTAGATACTGACTTTCCTGTTATGCAGCATGATGAACCTGCAGATTCAAAACGTTTTGAGAGTGTAGTTGAATGTGAACAGAAACCAGTTAGCAGGAGCAAGATGGGAGGAAAAATATCCATCACTTCCATGCCGATAAAGCGAGTCCTAATGATAAAACCGGAGAAGCTAAGGAAGGGGAATATCTGGTCAAGGGATTGTGTCCCATCTCCTGATGTTTGGTTACCTCAGGAGGATGCAATATTATGTGCTGTGGTACATGAGTATGGGGCTCATTGGAACCTGGTTAGTGAAATATTATATGGTATGGCTGCTGGTGGATTTTACAGGGGAAGATATCGCCATCCTGTCCATTGTTGTGAGAGATTTAGGGAACTCATTCAAAGATATGTTTTGTCTTCACCGGACAATCCCAATTATGACAAAGTTAGCAGCAATGCGGGGTCCGGAAAGGCTCTTCTAAAAGTAACACAGGTAGGCTCTGCGATTTTAAGAATTGTCTTGTAAACTTTTTGATCCGCATATATGCATCCAAGTTTATTTACGTTTGTTAATTGTTTCTTAATCTCATGTCAGGATAATATTCGAACGTTGTTAGATATTGCTGCTGAGCAGCCAGACAAAGAGTTGCTCCTTCAAAAACACTTCACTGCCGTTCTGTCATCTGTCTGGAAGATTACATCTCGTATGGATCACCACAAGAACCTTGCATCATCACGAAATGGACTCTATTTTGGTGGGAGATTTTTCAATTCTGTCAACCATATTTCTCGTACTTCTATTAAGGAGCCTGTTGAGAGATTGAAATTCACTAATTCAGGACAGAGTAGGCTATTAGCAGCTGCACTTCACGATGTTGGTAATCGACAACAGGAAGACAAAGCATCCTCTTTTGTTCAAAGGATGCGACAACCAGATGACAGAGCTTCTTCTTCCAGTCGCAGGGAAGATGCATCGACAAAGGCAGAACGTTGGGAGATGACTCTGGAATTCCCTAAAGAAACGGACGACACGTTGGATCCGCTGCCTTCTGTTCTAAACTTATCAATTGTTGGTTCAGACCCTCTCCCATCTGTTAGTCAGGATGAGCAGGAAGATCGTCATCTCAGAACTTCATATGATGTGGCTGAGAATCGTTTCAGGTAAGTTTTACGCATCCCACAAAAGCATGGTCAGTTACATGCATCTGTTCTTTTCTCGTGAGATGAAAGTAACAGTTTATTCCTTATCTGGTCAAGTTGCATATGGTAAAACCAAAAGGATTCGACTTTTCTTCGCAAAATGAACGACTTTTCTGGAGTCTCTGGAACTTGCTTGCATTCATGATTTAGAAAGGAGTCTTAAAAACTGTTGTCATCTGCCTTAAAACTGTTGTCATCTGCATCCAATATTGGCAATTAAGAAATTGAAAGTCATGTCATTCTGCGTCCTTTGACATATAAGCAAAAGGCGAGGTCAGTATGGTTTGCTATTTGCAAAACAACATTGTCAATTCTACTTGCAACAACTGATTGAAAAAGCTACAGAATTATTTTTCCGATAATTAACTAACTATTGGGATTGCTAAAAAACATCCCGCCTCCTTTTTCCAGGGTTTCTGCAAGAGCTTGTGTTGACGACAGTCTCGGATGGGCTTCATCTGTATTTCCCACAAACGAGGTCAGGTCTCGTTCCGCACCGAAGTTACCGTCCTTGGGAAAGCACAAAATCCCCTTCCCTGATTTAAACAAACCTGCTAAGTCAAAGTCCAGGAAAACTTCAGAGAATGGTAAGACGCGCCACCCTCATAGTGAACAGATCTTCCGACCATTGGCATCGCTGGATCTTAACCTATTCAATCCAAGTTCGCCCATCACGGCAGAGGTTGAGATTGATGCTTTGGGAAGTAACTCCTTTTCTGACATCAATGATTTCTTACCATCAGAAATGGAGACTTTTGAAGCAGTAGAACACAGTTATGATCCCAGTATTTTCTCTGATCTTGTTGATTGTCCGTTGTCTCCAGAATTTACCGACATTGGTTAGGACGAATCTCAAGCTTGGTCGGAACCAAAAGTTTTGGAACGGAGGGATTCTCTCGTGAGAATTTTCCAGGCTCGGGTTAGTTGACCATAAATTCTTGGGCATTGTCGATGTGCTCCTGAGGCATGTATTTTTGTGGCTCGCCATTTTCGGCCGCTTTATCAAGAGGGAGGAATTTGGAACATCTTGCCTATGTACCCCAGTTTGGTGGATTTTGTCTTTCAGAATTGGCCATGCCGAGGGATCAGTGATTTGGGAAATTTGGTGCGCCAATGGAGAATTTTGCAATTTCATTTCTCACTGGGAAGTCTTTGCTAATTAATTGGGGCTTAATTTTGGACAACTACCTTTGTATGGACTTTGGGCACATTTCCCCCAATAGGAAGTAGTGAAAGGAAATTAAAAAACTATTGATTAGTGAGAGCGAAAAAGAATTAAAAATTCAGCTTCCCCTTTCTGTCTGCAGAGTCTCTCTCCAATGACTTGCAAGTGGTTCTAAGCTATTGATCTTTTACTTTTGCTAACAAACAAATAAATTGATGTTTTTAAGAAATAGCTTTAATCAACACAGCACAAGGCAGTTTTTTTTTCCCCGTAAATGATATCACATCGTCTTTTGCATCGATTTATTTGTTTTTGGTTGAATAAAAATAAAAGGTTACACTTATGGTGAAGAAAGGTTATATTCTTCCACATTTAGGAACTATATTTTAATTATTAGATTAGATTTTCAATAGTATTTAGATTAGCTTTTCAATGGTTTAATTTGTAGTAGGAACAGTTTTTTTGTTGTGCATTATAATTGTTTAATGCGTACGTAACAAATTTTGCATGTCCTGTCTTTAGTTCCTTAAAAACATAATTCAGTTCTTTTTTTAAAAGATTATTCTCACCGGTGCTTTGAATTTTAGAGTTATTTTCAGTTTGCTTAATGAATTTTAAAAACTCATTTTTAAAAACTCATTTTACTCACTGAATTTTGAATTATTTTCACTTAACTCATTTGTTGTAATTTCTTTTAAAATTTGACGGAAAAAAAAGGTTAAATGTGGTCATGTGGTTTTTATTTGTTTCTTTTTAATAGAATTCTAAACATAAAAATCACGTGATTACATTATTTTCATTTTTTCTATCTTTTTTTAATAGAATGGGTTAAATGAAAACAATTCAAAATTTAGAAGCAAAATGAGAGTTTTTAAAAGTTCAAGAATGATTTTAAAGTTCAAGGAGTATCAGTGATAATAATCATTTTTTAAAACATTGTTTGTTTCACATGGCATGTAATTATCACCACGTTTCTGTTTTCTACAAATAAAATTTCCTTTTTAAATTGTATAAGTTAGTTTTCTTGGGGCTTTATTTTATGTTTTGAATGTGGAACGCTGATTCTTTTTTTCTTAATTACTCATATTTTTATTGTTAAAAAATCATATTTTTTTATTCTGATTAGTTTTGCCTTCTCCTTAAAAAAATCAATCTATTATTGATTTTAAAAAAATAAAAAATAAAAAAATCAATCTATATAATATATTAAGAGTTAATGTCAATTTTGACCCTCGTACTATGCTTCTTGTTCCATTTAGACCCTAAAATTTTAAAATGTTAGAAAGTGTTGCATAAATTATGCTCCTTATCCCATGTTTTATCCCTTTGAATCAACCATTGCCATATTACACTCAAATGCTTAGTTAATAAAAGTATTTTAAATGAATCACACCTAAATAAATTCAAAAATTGAAAAGGAAAATAAAAATATATTTTTTCTACACGAGCTTCTTGGCTAATAAAATAAATCAAATTTATTTAAATTCACCTAGTAATTTGCCTAAAATATCTTTTTAAATCAGTGATAAGGGTTCACACAATTAATTCCTTTAAAATTTTAAAGATATAGTTTCATTATTTTTTAAATTTCTAGCTCAAGTTTTGTGACTGAAGGGCCAAACATGAACCAAGGAGCATAGGTGCTATTTGTAAAAGTGAAATTACATGCTAAGAAATACAGTCTTGTTTAGTTCACTGGTTTGAATTTTGTTAGTTTGAACTTTTTGATTTGACAAAAAAAAATTTTAAACTGTGTGGTTTAAATTGTAGTTTGAATTGACGTTTGTATGTGTAGTTAAAGTTTTAATTTGAATAGGGAATAAAATTTGAATTTGTGTTTAGTAGGTGTGAAAAATAGAGATAGTGAGTACTTTTTATTGTTCAAAAATGGTTTAAACGGTTGAATTTGAAAGGGAGCTAAACTCTAAGTTGGGCTGTTAAACTCATTCTAAATGGAGAATATAATTCAAACTGTATGCTTATTAAACGTTAATTCAAATAGTACTCACTATAACTGAGTTGAACTGAACTAAACTTAAAAACAAACTGAGGCATAATTTGGGACCGAAAGTAAAAATTATTAAAAGAAGGCATAGAAAAGGATAACCCAAAGGGCGGCACAACCCACGTCAAGGCCAGGCTTGTAGTGCAAGCTTTGACCTCTTTTTTTATCCAACAACGAGGGAAACAAATGAGACGTGTAGTTTATAAATTAGAATCATGAGATTAGAATCATTTTTGATTTATGTGTATTTTTTGTGAGAGAAAACACTATAGCGAACCATGAACTATGATTCAAATCATGATATAAATTCCCTTACAAAACGTCTCCGAAATCTCAACCGTCTATTACTAAAATCATGAATAAATTAATTAAAATTACTTTAATTTATTTTATTTTGAACCAAACAAAATTCAAATCTAAATTTAAGACTTTGCTCTGTTTTTTTCGTAAATTAAAATTTTTAATTTAAATTGAGATATTATATTTTTAAAAAGGCAAAAAAATTTAAGTGACATTTTTTTAAACTTTTGATTGTATAGAACTGAAAATTCTAGGTCTCGTTCATTTCACCGATACGAGTTTTTAATTCTAAATTTTTACAGTAAAAAACTCTCAAAAAATGTCACATCTAATTTTTTCTTCTACAATAAAAAATTCGCCAAAAAGGACTTAAAAACAAATTTTCGTTCGTGGGAGAGAGAGGGAAAAACCGAAAGCCTCTAAAATTTGGTTCCCGGGGGTTTCCACTTTCCAAATTTTCTTTCTGTAAATACTTCGCTCTATTCCTTTCTTTTTTCAATCCAAAAAAATTTTCCGAATCTCTCGCGATTGATTCGAACCAGAAAAATCCGAGATTCTTCGATCTTGAAATCTCCACGCGAAATTGCCGATCATCGTTTTGCCGGCCATGGTTCGGACTGTGAGGCGCGAAGCGAGTAGTGCTAGTTGCAGCAGAAGAGTCGAAGAACCGAAGGATTTTAATGGCGAGAAGGATCGCCGAGTCCTCCGCTCTCGCTACCTTGCCGTCAAGTCCAAAATCAGCGGTATTTTCTTCTTTTCAAATCTTTGGTTTTAACCTTCGATTTGTTGATGTGGTTGATTGTGCGCTTTGGTGTGTTTTCTCGATGAAATTTAGGCGTTTTGGAGTGTGTATGTTGTTTTCCTTGCTGTTTGGTTGCTCGGAAAAGAAAAGGAAAGAAACGAGAAAATAGGTTTCTTTTTTTGTATGGATTATTTATTTTGCAGTAGAAAAAGGAGGGAATTTTAGTGTTCGGTTTTCTGTTCTTTATTTGCTTCTGAAAGATAAAAGTGAATAATGTTTTGATTTGTTAGACGGACTTATGATTTCTAATCAAATTCATTATACTCTGTTTTCACAGAGTTTTGGTGGATAAATAGATTTTCTTCTTTTTTTTTTTATGCTTAATAATTGTTGAAATTGAATAATGTGCAGAAAAGAGAGAGGAGTTATCAAGTGTAGATTCGGATAACTTCAGTTCAATTATCAATGAAGTGGAGACCTTGCATCAGCTGGGTAAATTTCCCCATCTCTTTGATATTTCATTGCTATAGTTCCTTTTTCTTTTTTCGTTTCCTTAATATTTGTTCATTAAGAGAGTTGGCTTACTCGTTGTTGCTTTTCACTAACTTTTGTTTTCAATTTTCAGTGCAGAAGCCAAGAGAACAAGTTGCTGATGCCGAGGCTTTACTGGACATTACAAACACATTAATAAACTCTGTCAAGGCACATAGTGCCTCTGGTATAACGCCTTCGAATTTCGTCAGTTGTCTTCTTAGAGAATTTGGGCAACAAAGCAGAAGCATTGAAGGCCCAAGGAGCGCTAAATTTTGGGAGGATGTTGGACTTGCAGTGTCACATGTTTTCAGGAGTGCTCCTGGATGCTGCACCATGTAATAGCAATAGAATTAATCTCCTCGTGTGTGAACATTTCTTAATTAATCATATGCCAAGGTTGATATAGTTGCTTTTCTTTCAGGCTTGGGCCTATGGACACAGAAGCCAAGGTTCGGAATCCTGTTGTTCACCGAAGACATGTGAGGCCTATAGAAAGTTCTCGGCCTGAAGAGGTAAGAGGGCTTGATTCAGGTCTGTTATTGCTTTCTTAGAACTACAGACTAGTAGTTTAATGGGTTCTGGTTATCTAGACTCCCACCCTAGGTAACCATTATGAGACCATTCACCTTAGTTTTCTTTTCAATGCGTTTACATGTTTATTTAGCAGTTGAAATCATTATCATAAGTAGTTAGTTTCTATGTCCCAGCATAATGGACTATAGATTATGTAACCATTTGCATAGTTAGTTCAGTTTGTGCTAAATTTGATACAATGTCTTATTTTCCTAATGATTTCTATAGCTGGTAATTAAACTTCATGGTTACCATTTGCAGTTAGACAATTCTGCTGTGGAAGAGAGGACAGACACTGATAAAAATATGGCGACCATGTTCAACATTTTGAGGAAGAACAAAACCGTTAAACTTGAAAATCTAGTGTTGAACAGGAGCTCTTTTGCAGAGACGGTGGAAAATTTATTTGCGCTGTCATTTCTAGCTAAAGATGGGCGAGCTGAAATTAAAGTGGATGAGAAAGGCTGTCATCAAGTCTGTAAGTTATTTTTTTATATGCTCATTTTCCTCTTTTTCAGCTTAACGTCTTGGGTCTTCTACTTCCATGCCTTGTGTTAATCACGTACTGCATTGTTTGGTTTGTCAGCGCCAAGAAATGCACCTTCTGTCAATTCAGTTGCCTCCGGGGAGGTTGCTTATAGCCATTTCGTCTTCAGATTTGATTTCAAGGATTGGAAGGTATTGGAAGAGTGTTTGATATGTTTTAAGCTTCCACGATAACTTCTTTTTGTTGATTGTTGTTCGTTGTCTCTGCAATTTCATCTCGCCCGATTAGTATTCCAAGTGGGACATATTGCCTTAAGGACTTGCGTGTCAAGTGTGTCCCCCTTTGCCCATTACTTTAAGAATGGTTTTAATTCCGTCTTCAAAATTCTTTTCTTTCACTTGCTGTTTTAAATCCTCCAAGGCCATCGAGTGGTGTTTACATATTGTCTTAATATTATTGATGAATGAATGTTATCTGAATTTTTCTGAATTTCACAGTTGATGTCAAATTATGTTGCGGTTGGTGAGGAATTGATGCCACATAGGTGTCAAGCAAATATGCCTAGCAGAAGTCAAGCAGACGAACCTTCCGGCGAACGTCAACCAACTGGTCCGACAACACCAATTAGGAAATTGAGCAGGAACCGCGGCCTGGTTATACAGGAGCAAACAGTTGGGGAGCAATTCCCTGACAGTGAACCGGCAATTGTGGAAGACTCACCTCTGTGTGACGATGACGTACAAAGCTCCAGTACTCTCCGGAAAAGGAAGCGCAAGTTGAGGTGAAGCTGACGATGATATAGGGTATTTCCAGCAGAACCAGTCTTGCTATACATTTTAGGACTTGCATTACAATTATGTAACTTTTTCCTGTATAGTAGTAGAATTCATCTAAAAAACTCCTTTGTTCTCTTTTTGGATCATAGGTTCACAAAGCTTTGTGTTTCCCTTTTGTGCTATTTTATTATCAACTGTTTGATGTAATGAGCTGCGGTGTTCAATTGTCCTTGTTCTTTTTAGATTTTGGTGCTTTTAGCCTTTGCCCTTGAAGTTTTAGCAAATTGACAAACCCTTGACTTCAACGTTGATAAATTACTTTAAAAAAAAAAAAATGCATAGTGCTTCAAATCATGATGGATGTTAAAATTTTTTAAAGGAAAATTTCCCATGACATGCTGCACCATTTGAAGTTCAGTCAACTTTAAATAAGAACATTTGATGTGTGGAAATTTAGTTCTCTAACTTTAAACGAGATCAGTTGATGTGTATGATGGTATTACTATTAAAATTTAAGCACCGTTCATTTTGTTAGTTCAAATTCAACTTTTTGCTATAATGTTTTCTTAATAAAAATATAAATTCAACGTTTTTTTATTATAGTATTTTTCTTTACATGAATTCACTTCTTAACTTAAATTTTCAATTTGAACGAACGAAATGAATGGAGTCTTAATCTGTTGATAATATCCTTAATTTAGGAGCATTTAGCAACACTTAATCTGAGTACTTTGTCAAAATACCCTTATTTTAGCCTCTGCCCCTGAAGTTTAGCAAATTGACAAACCCTTGACTTCAACGTTGATAAATAACTTTTAAAAAAAAAATAATAATGCATAGTGCTTCAAATCACCATTTGAAGTTAAATTTTTTTTTAAAGGAAATTCTCCCATGACATGTTGTCACCATTTGAAGTTCACTCAACTTTAAATAAGAAGATTTGATGTGTATGGAAATTTAGTTCTCTAACTTTAAACGAGATCAGTTGATGGGTATGATGGCATTACTATTATTTAAGCACCGTTCGTTTCGCTAGTTTAAATTTAACTTTTTGTTATAATATTTTCTCTAATGAAAATTTAAACTCAATTTTTTTATTATAGTGTTTTCTCTCATATGAATTCACTTTTTAACTCAAATTCTCAATTTGAACGAGCCAAATGAATGGAGCCATAATTTGTTGATAATATCCTTAGTTTAGGAGCATTTAGCAACACTTAATCTGAGTAATTTGTCAAAATACCCTTCATTTTATTCTAGTTCATAGAAAGAGGGGTTATAGTTGTCTCCGTCTCTGATTTTGGTGGTAACTTCTGGCTATGCAAGAAAAGGGGTCGATAAAAAATTTGTTTAAACTTGAACAAATATTGTTATTTTTGTAACTAAATTAAACAGACATATTGTTAAAGATGATCTTATGAGATGCAGAAGCCTAAATAAACAATGATGTCTTTTACGCACAGGATTTCACAAAATGTAAATTCCAATCAGAAAGAGAATAAGTTTCCTTTCATCAACTAGGAATGAGTTAACTTCCAAACAAAAACGGTACGAAAATTTTTTTTTTTGGCTTAGTAGTTTTCTAGTGAAATCCCTCATCAGCCATTGAAGTCAAGGTCTGTCGCTCTAGTTGTCTTTTGGAATGTCGAGGTTCTCGAATATTGGGCTGTCAACTCCCACTCCCATTGCATTCAGACCATTGTCGACGTACACAACTGCTCCGGTAATTGCTGATGCTAGCGGCGATGCAAGGAAGGCAGCAGCATTTCCGACCTCCTCTGTACATTTATTTTTCAAGTTCATCTAAACTAGATTGAAGTATCAAGTATCAAAGTAAATAGCTGTATCTGGTCATACCAGTGGAAAGAAAACTTGCAACACAAGACAATCAAACAGTAACTAACTAGCTAGTTCTTTTCATGCAAATCACCTGCAGATAATTCCTTTTGTAAAGGTGCATTGGCTGACGAATAATCGATCATCATATCGATAAAACCAATTGCTTTTGCAGCACGACTTCTTAACGGGCCTGAAGTTTTAGAGGATAATGTCAATAAGATATGCTTAGGACTAAAGACTGATTTTTCAATGGGGGATTAACTGTAGTACCTGCAGATATTGTGTTGACTCTGATTTTGTGTTTTCTTCCAGCTTCAAAAGCCAGAACCTGAAGCAAAGGTAGGAAAAAATAAAGTAAATGAGATTTGTCATAACGGGCATTCGAAGAAATTTGGTAATGTTTTTATCAGAAACTCAAACATGGTTTCTCTTAGACATGGTCAATCTGGAACCATTTTTTTTTCCTTCTAATACATAAACAAAAAAAAAAAAAATTATAGAATAATTGCTCACGCGTGTGTCACTCTCCAGAGCCGATTTGGCTGAACTCATTCCTCCACCATAACTGTGTGTAGAGCAGAGAAATCATTTTCGTTTTGTTTTTAAATCATTATAAAAGAACTGGAAAAGCATGGTTTGAAATGTCCAAGGATAACACACCCTGGAATGATCTTTTCGGAAGCAATGTATGTGAGTGAAATTGAAGCACCACCTGTAGTTTCAACATTTCAGATTAGATTGTAAGCTTTCTAGCAGCAGTTATTAGTTCATGATTAAGGATTTTTTAATGGAGATACAAGGGGACAAGAAAAAGCATGACTATTAACAAGGAAATCGTGGCACAAATGGAGAAAGAAATATAAGTTAGATGTGTGCCTGGATTCATTATTGGAGCAAAATGCTTGAGCAAAGAAATAAATGAGTAACTTGATGCTGAGAGGGCGGCAAGATATCCGTTCCTCGATGTCTCTAGAAGAGGTTTGCTAACCTGTACATGATACTTTAAGACTTAAGTACCATGAGGATCATGAACAATGATGATAATAGAACGATAGGAAAATACTATACCTCCGGTCCATTGGCAAGTGAATGGACAAGGATGTCAATACTGCCGAAATCCTTTTTCACAGATTCAGCAACTTCCTGCACAGATTTTTAAAGATTTAAAGTTTAAAAGAATCAACGGTGTTATGAATTAGCTAGCAAAAGGAGATTTTACACGGCCAGAAATACAAACAATTTTTTGTAGATTAAAACACGTAATTATTGAACTCCACGCATGCCTCATATTATAAAGGAGTAACCCAACATGGAGTTCAAAACTAAAGTTCAAAATAATCTGTTCAAAGGAGATGATACCCGAACTGTCCAATTTGAGGATCCTGCATAGCGTTTGTTTATTTTTATCTGCGTGGAGCAGAATACAGACATCAATGAAAATACAGTTTAAATTACTGTAAATTTTCTAGAAACTCTCTTCTATTATTTTCGGAATAGTAAAAAATAAGAATAAATATGCTAAGAAAGAAACCTTATCTTCCTAAAAGAAACTATCCTAATTAAAGATAAACTCTAAAGATAAACTCTAACCTAAGAAACCTTATCTCTAATGATAAACCCTTTATCCTCTATTTTATTTAAATTCAAATACAAAGACTTTATCTAACCGACACTCCCCCTCCAGTTGGTGCAAAGATATCTATCATGCCCAACTTGCTAACTAGAAATTCAAACTTCTACCTTAGGAGTCCCTTTATTAGAATATCTACAACTTGCTATGTGGTTGGAACAAATGGCGTGCATATGACCCCTTCTTCAAGCTTCTCCTTTATAAAGTGTCTATCCACCTCAATGCGCTTTGTTTTGTCATGTTGAATAGGATTGTGCGCGATGCTGATCGTAGCCTTGTTGTCACAGTATAGTTTCATAGGACTATCGTGTGGTCTTCTAAGCTCCTTGAGGGCTCTCAGTAGCCATAGTACCTCACATATCCCTAGTGCCATTAATCTATACTCGGCCTCGGCACTACTTCTAGCTACTACACTACTTTTTGCTCCTCCACGTGACAAAATTTCCCCATAAAAATGTGCAATATCCAGAAGTTGATCTTCTATCCACTATTGATCTTGCCCAGTCAGCATCTGTATAGACTTCAATTCCCCTGTGCTCACTTTTCCTGAAAAACAATCCTTTTCCTGGAGTTCCCTTTAAATACCTCAAGATCCGGTAAACCGCTTCAAGGTGTTCCTCGTACAGGCATGAATTGGCTAACCACACTTACTGCGAATACGATATCAAGTCTTGTATGAGATAGGTAAATTAACTTGTCAACTAGTCTCTGGTATCGGTTTGTATCAACTTGGACCTCTTTCTCTCCTTCACCAAGTTTTACGTTGAACTCTATAGGGGTGTCAGCCAGTCTACATCCACTCATCCCTGTTTCTTCTAAAAGATCAAGGGTATATTTGGGCTGTGAGACGACAATCCCTTTCTTGGATCGTGCAAATTCCATACCAAGAAAGTATTGTAATGGTCCCAGATCCTTAATCTCAAATTCAGTAGCCAAGCACTGCTTTAATTTACTCATTTCTTAGAAATCATCTCCTGCAAGGATAATATCATCCACGTAGACAATTAAGACAGCGATCTTTCCTTCAGAGGATATCTTCATGAATAGAGTATGGTCTGCTTGTCCTTGAGTAAAGCCTTGGCCTTTTACAAACTTTGCAAATCGTTCAAACCAAGCTCTAGGAGACTGCTTGAGCCCATACAGAGACTTTTTTAATCGACAGATCCTCAAACCAAACCTCTCAAAAAAACTTGGTGGAGCATCCTGATAAGAACTAGACGCTGCTAGACTATGGTAGAAGAAAGAAAGAAACAATAAATGATTGGTTACTGGGTGGTTAGTGGCTGACGTGGACAGGGACTTGTAACTGAATTTAGTTAGTTGTTAAGAGTTAGCTTGTAGCTTGTAGGAGAAGCTGTTAGTCAATCTAGGAGAGTCTATAAATAAGCAGGGGTTCCTAGAGGTTAGGCACTTTTGGATTGTGTAGAATTGTGAGGAGAGACGGTGATTCTCTCGAAAAATCACCTTAGTGTGTAATTTGTCCTTCATTAATCTAGAGGTTTCCATCAAATTGGTATCAGAGCTATTCCGATTGGGAATGGTTGCTTCAAAAGTTGGAAAAATGGACGGAAGAGTGGAAGTTTTGGAGAAAGACATCGGAGAACTCAAAGGAGTTGTCGGACAGCTTTCGGCAGACATAGGAGCTGTGAAGGAGTACATGAAGGAGCTTACCGATTGGATGAGGTCGGGGAACGGCGTGAATCCACCGGCAGAGCAGGCTAGGGCTTTTGCTTCAAACGACGTTGAAGGCAGTGGCGCGACGGCGGCAGCGTTTCACCCCGATCATGGTTCAGCACCGAGCGGCGGAGAATCAAGATTTCGCCGAATGGAAATTCCCCTTTTTAGCGGCGATGATCCGCTTGGCTGGTTGTTTCGGCTTGAGCGATATTTCTAGGTCCAAGGCGTCGAGGAGGCGGAACGAGTGGCGGCGGCGATTATCGGTCTTGAAGGGAAGGCGCTGAACTGGTTCCAGTGGTTGGAATCCAGATCTGGTCACATTTCATGGCTGAGATTCAAGGAATCCGTGATACAGCGGTTCAAGTCTTCGCAAACTGGCAACCATTACGAAGCCTTGATTGCTTTGCGACAAGACTCATCGGTGGCTGAATTTCGTGAGAAATTCGAGCTGCTCTCGTCCCCTTTGAGAGAAGCCGACGAGGAGTTTCTAATGGGAGCCTTCTCGAATGGACTGGCCGAGGAAATCAAGGCAGAAGTTCGTATGGTGAAGCCTGTCTCTCTCGTCCAGCTGTTGGATTTGGCCCAAAAAATTGAGGAGAAGAATTGGGCCCTTGAAAGAGCCCAAGTGTCCACGCCCATACCGAATGTTGGAGGGGCTGAAATCTCCAGAATTGGGGACTCTTTGGGACTAAGGAAATCAGCGGTGGGGGGTTATTCCAATTACTCAGTCGGTGGCACTAGTGGGATTCCAGTCGGTGGCATTAGTGGAATTCCACTAAAGACTGCAGAGGGTATTGGAGTTGTTTCGGGAGTGACACGCACTAGTTCTAACTCTTCTCACTCCAACGTCTCAGTCAACAAGAATCAGCTTCCCAATTCCCCTCACTTTACATGGAACAATGAAAATTTCAGGAGGAGGATTTCGGATGCTGAAATGCAGTGGCGAAGGGAACGAGGTTTATGCTTCCGGTGTGAGGAGAAATGGCAGTTCGGCCACGTCTGTAAGAACCCCCAACTACAGGTTCTTATCGCAGCGGTAGACGAAAATGATGGGGCTGGAACTGATGTTGAAGTTGAGGAAGCACCGGGGGGACAAACGGCGGAGCACAGAGAGGTCACTTGAACCTTGAGGACAAGGTTCTTGTGAATGGGGGGGTAATGATAAGAACTAGACGCTGCTAGACTATGGTAGAAGAAAGAAAGAAACAATAAAGGATTGGTTACTGGGTGGTTAGTGGTTGACGTGGACAGGGACTTGTAACTGAGTTTAGTTAGTTGTTAAGAGTTAGCTTGTAGCTTGTAGGAGAAGCTGTTAGTCAATCTAGGAGAGTCTATAAATAAGCAGGGGTTCCTAGAGGTTAGGCACTTTTGGATTGTGTAGAATTGTGAGGAGAGACGGTGATTCTCTCGAAAAATCACCTTAGTGTGTAATTTGTTCTTCATTAATCTAGAGGTTTCCATCACATCCATATACACCTCTTCTGCTAATTCTCCATTGAGGAAGGCATTTTTTACGTCTAGCTGGTGTAGAGGCCAATCAAGATTCACGGCAATGGACAGGAGAACCCTTACTGTGTTCAATTTTGCTACTGGAGAGAAGGTTTCGGAGTAGTCAATACTGTATGTTTGTGTAAATCCCTTTGCTACCAAGCGTGTTTTATATCTTTCCAATGAGCCATCTGAGTTGTACTTCACGGTAAACACCCATTTGCAGCCAACGGTTGTTTTCCCGCGTGGCAAGTCTAGTTCGTCCCATGTTTCATTTTTCTCAAGAGCCATCATCTCTTCATAAACTGCTTCCTTCCACTCGGGAACAACTAGAGCCTCCTGTATATTTTTTGGAATAGCTACACTGGAGAGTTGTTAGATAAATGCATGGAAGGAGGGTGACACTTTTTCATACAACACAAAATTGGACAATGGATGTTTGGTGCAAGATCTAATACCTTTTCTGAGAGCAATAGGAATTGAAGAGTTTGGTTCAGAATTACTTGGGACTTTATCTAACATGGGATCTAATCCACGGTTGGACTCTTGGCAGTGTTGCAAGTTAGATTTCTCTGTTCCTTGTTGATGATTCCTTCTTGAGAAGACTAGCCCTTTGTACCGTTTCGCACACATCTCTAATTTTCCACGATTATGATCATGTGATGGCATTAAGGAAGCTGTCCATGATTTTCAGTATCCAATACATTTGTTTCATTTGAATTTTCATTCAAAACTGTACCTACATCATTTATTTCCTCATCTATTTCGGGTGTAAGTTCAAACACGGCTGGAACCGTTTCAGTTTTTTTTAAAGCATCAATACTGACATTTGAATCTTCACTATTGTTCTCCCCCTGAAGATGAGAACTCATGTAGTAACTTTGGTTTTCAAAAAAGGTACATCCATGGAAACAAACAATTTTTTTTAGAGTGGATCAAAGCACTTGTACCCTTTTTGATTTGATGGATAGCCAACAAAAATGCATTTTCTTGCTTCAGGATCTAGTTTCCCTCGTTTATTATCATAGATATGAACAAATGCAGTACATCCAAATATTTTTAGAGGGATATCACCAAAAAGCCTTGAAGTAGGAAAGCACTCTTTGAAAACATTTAAAGGGGTTTTAAATTTCAAAATTCTAGTTGGCATCCTATTGATCAAGTAAGTGGCTGTAAGGATAGCTTCCCCCCATAAATATTTTGGAACATTAAGAAAATCTTAAGGCCCGGGCAACTTCTAGGATGTGTTTATTCTTCCTTTCAACCACCCCATTTTGTTGAGGTGTATTATTACAAGAGCTTTGATGCACAATTCCTTTTTCATGAATTTTTTTTCCAGAATGGAGTTAAAATACTCTTGTCCATTATCACTCCGAAAGATTTGAATTTCGTTTTTAAATTGTGTTTGAATCACGGTGTAAAAATTTTTAAACACTTGTTCTGCATCAGATTTTTCTTTTAGTAAAAATACCCAAGAAACCCTTGTGTGATCATCAATGAAGGTGATAAACCATCTTTTACTTGAGAGGGTTGCAACTCTAGAAGGACCCCAAACATCACTATGTATTATAGTAAATGGTTTTGAGCTTTTGTAGGGTTGTGGTGGAAAGGGGACACGGTGATGTTTTGCTAACTCACAAATTTCACATTGAAAAGAAGACGGATTTTTATTGATAAATAACTTGGGAAACAAATGTTTCAAATATTTAAAATTTGGATGACCTAATCTATAATGCCATAGCATGATTTCATTTGTACTAATAACAAAAATAGAAGTGAAACAAGTCTTCCGAGCTTGCCTTCCAATTGCAGATCCACCTTCAAGTATGTAGAGTCCTTCAACTTGTTTAGCATTGCCAATCATCTTCCCCGAGGTTAAATCCTGGAACTCACGAGAAAAAAGGAAGTTAACTTGACAATTTTGATCATGAGTTAATTTACTGACAGATGAGAGATTGCAAGACAAATTTGAGACATGGAGGACATCATTAAGAGTAAGGTGAGGAGAAATAACAATGGTTCCTTTCCCGGCTATTGTTGAGAGGGAACCATCAGCTATTTTGATTTTTTGATTTCCTACACATGGTCTATAAGATGAAAATAATTGTGATAATCTGGTCATGTGATCGGTTGCATGGGAATTGATTATCCAAGAACAATTTGGATTGACACTGATACGAGCGGCTGTGAGGTAATTACCTTTTTGTGCCACAGAACAAGAAGGGTTGTAAGGGTGGCTAAAACATTTTGTACAGGTGGTCAATTTGTTCATTTGTAAATGGAAGAGTTTCTGAGGAGACTTGTTGCTGCCCTGTTTCATTATTGTTGCTGGCCTGGAATGCCCGAGTGTCACCATTCTGCTTCTTTTTCCAGTTTGCTGGCTTGCCGTGAATTTTCCAGCAGTTCTCACGGGTGTGCCAGGGTTTTTTGCAGTGATCACACCATGGCTTCTGTCTTCCATTCTTCCTTTCGCCCTCTGGATCATACCCTTTTGTAGCCAGTGCAGAACTTTCAGCATCAAGGCTTGGTCGAGTGTCTCCTGCTGGTTTCATCATGACATGTCTACGAGCTTCTTCTCTGCGGACTTCGGAGAAAACCTCTCTGATTGAGGGGAGAGGTGTTCGACTCAAAATTCGACCGCGGACTTCATCTAATTCTTTGTTTAAACTTGCAAGAAATACAAACGCACGGTTTCTTTCAAATTTTTTCTTGTATCGAACACTATCACTTGGACTCTCCCATTCTTCTTCTTCGAGTAGATCAAGTTCCTGCCATAGTGTCATCATCTCGTTATAATACACAGTCACTTCTCAGTCTCCTTGCTGGGATCTCCACATCTTGGCATTTAATTCAAACATCTGGGAATAATTTTCCTGATCAGAGTATGTATCCTGCATTGCTTCCCAAACATCTCAGGCAGTAGGGAGAAACATGAAGGGTTTCCCAATCATCGGTTCCATAGAATTAATCAACCAGGCAATTACCATTGAGTTCTCTGATTTTCATCTCCTCTGCTTTGCATCATTAGTAGGCTGTTTTATTTCTCCGGTCAGGTAACCAAGCTTTCCTTTACCATCGATCACAAGTTTGACAGATTGTGACCATTCTAGATAATTTTTTCCATTCAGTTTATGAATGGTTATTTGAAGGGAATGATCGGGCAAATACATAGGAGACTGATGAACAACCTCATCAGCAACCTCTAAGGAACTCGTGCCTTTGGTGGCACCAACCATGGCTGTTTTTGTCATGGCTCTGATACCATGTAAATTTTCTAGAAAGAAAATCTCTTCTATTATTTTCAAAATAGTAAAAAATAAGAATAAATAGGCTAAGGAAGAAACCTTATCTTCCTAAAAGAAACTATCCTAATTAAAGATAAACTCTAACCTAAGAAACCTTATCTCTAATGATAAACCCTTTATCCTCTAGTTTATTTAAATTCAAATGCAAAGACTTTATCTAACCGACAATTACATATTACACAAAGCACATTGAAGAATAAGTGAGAATATAATCAGAATTGTTTGGCGTAGTTAAAAAAGGAAGGAGCCATACATCTTCAGGAACATCCTCGGGATTGTCAAAAACTGCATCTAGTGGATATACTTTGGTAATCTCCATCAATGAACCATCTGGTAATCTGGGAAGACCAAGATTTAGATAAGCAATTGTTGGAAAATGGAGACAGCTTTGACGAACATCAAATGATTATATGAAATGCGGAGAGAAAATAAATCTTTCCCTTACACACATGATTCGTAAAATTTTCCTCGCCGTAAGCTGGATTCAAAAATGTTTAGTGCCTAAAAAGGAGATCTTTGTTAAAAAACAATGTAATAAATTTTAGTTACTAATATCTTTACAGCCATGAGAGAAATGCGATGAATCAATTTACTCACCGGCACCCATGTACCAACAAGAATTTCCGCACCGGCAGCAGCAAGAGATTTCGCTATTGCCCAACCATACCCGTTGTCATCAGCCACACCAGCAATAAATGCTCTCTTACCTGATAAGGGCTGTCCCAAATTTATAACATGCTAAACTATGGTATAATTAGTTTCTTGATTTTCTTTTAAGTGATTGTTGAATCCTTTCCTTGGAATAAGTAGAATAAAGTGCATTGATAAGATCTGATGTATTTCCGCAGATCAATACGAACCCTGTCAAATCATTCGTTCTTCTGATGCACAAATTATGGCATTTCCTACTATTTATTTAATATAAACAAGTCATATAAGAAGGTGTGTGACCTCTCAAATCAATAGGCAATCCTGGCAAGGTATTGCTCTCAACTGCTACAGACATTGCTCTAGAGACAACCTTTTCCGAACTTTTAGCATTACTAGTTGTTAAGCTCTGGAAGAATGACGGCCTTGCTGAGATGTGAGAAGAGCTTGCCAGCCTCTTCCACGCTGTTGCTTTACACTTGGTGCTGAAATTCACTGTGCTCTGCATAAAAGTTCTCCGTGAACAATTTATCTGGGGCTTGACCATTGCGGTATGCATGACATGAGTTGCGGTTGAGCTCATCTAAACCACCAGAAAGTAAAAGCAAGATTCAGAAACATTTAGAAGGCATTTCCATTATGGCAGACATGATAAACCGTGTGTTTAAATCTAAGCTTTCCACAATGTTATAATCTAGTTTTAAAAATACGTTGTTTTTGAATTCAAGACAGACAAAAAAGGACAGTAGATTCTTGTACTAGATAAGTAGTACATTCACAATGTTATCTTACACCAAATTTTCAGTGAAACAAATGTAAAGTATTTGATGCTAGTTGCGTAAATTAGACGACTAAAAGGGAGAAAAATAAGAAATAATTCAAATACGAAATTTAAAAACAAAAAGGTAAATGACACCCGAAAATGGCACTTGAGAAAAAAAATAGCTATTAGCAACCAACATTGGTTTTATATACTTTACATAACCAATCAGCGACAAAGCCACATATGCCCCACTCATACTTTAGAATTTTAATTTTTATGCCTAATATTTTTTTTGTACAATTTCAAATGTACCTTAAGAAAAACTATAAAATGTTCCTACACTCCATAATTGATTGAAATATATAATTATGAGACCAGTAAAAAATTATCTCCAATTAATTTTCATAATGCCCAACTAAAAAAATTTTGGCTTCATCATTCTGAGCAATAATTGATGATCAAACTTTATACTCAGTTTAGTTGGCAAGAACAATTAAACATTGCAAGCTATATCATATATTTCTGTATCTATATATTTCTGTATGATCAAAAGTAAACAAAACAGAAAATCTGAAAAAATTTAAAAAATTAAACGGTATTGAATCGACCCAGATCAAAACTATCAAAATCAGTAACAATATAAGAACTCAAATTCCGTTACATGCATAATCTTTGAAGAAAGATCGGAGAGAGAGACTGACCTCTGTCTGGAATAAGCCGAGTTAGAGAGAGAAAAATGGAAGCTTGATATGCAGGAAGAGAGAGAAAAAAAAAAGGGGTTTTTATTTATGCAATGTAGTACTGAACGTAATGTAATGTGGGTGTAAAACTGTAATGGTTTCGATGAAATCAAGGTTTGGTTTGTTTGATGGTTGGTGACTGTTTTTATTGTCGTTGAGCTTCGTAATTGCTGAATAACAGAGATGAGTTTTAGGCGAGCCTTGCAAAATGACGGTTCTACCCTTGTTCAATTGTTTCAACATGGGCCTAAAATTGGGCTCTGCACACAAGAGGCCCGGCCCTTTGAAATAAGGTGGGCCTGTGGTATCCTGATCCTAGGGTTTTATATGATTCGTTGCCGCCATCCGACAACCTCCGAGCCCCGCGAACTGATCCGTCAAACGCCGCGCCGGTCGGCCGGCGAATGGCCATCGTTTTGCCAAATCACAGAAAGCAAGTACAGTGTACAATCTAGAGAAAGCGCGCGTGCGTGTAAAAGTAAAATTCATAGGGCAGAGAAACCAGTTAAAAAGGCACCGATTACTTGCCAAAAAATCGCGGCACTCGGTAGTCCAACTTGGACATTTTATTATTATTATTATTATTATTATTATTACTACAATAATCATTATTATTTAATTATTATTACTATTTTCTTGACCAAATTATTACTACTATTACTATTTTAGCTAAATTCACATGTTTATACAACTTAATAGTTTGGAAAAACTTTTTGAAAAATTAATTTAACGTGACTTAATAGAATTAATACCAAAATTAAAAAGAAAACAATTATTTTCCCAATCATAGAAAACAATTATGACGCAAGCTCATATTCTATCCGAATTTTATTTATCCAATAAATAAAAGGAAATGGTTGGTCTATTAATATCTGACCTCCCCAAAATTTCCCACTCTCTCTGCTTGCTCAGCTTCTTCTGCTGTGCTCTCCCTCTTTGCTTTTTTCTCCTCCAAAACCCTTCTTGCCTTAAAGGTTATTTATTCGATTCATTTCTTTGTAATTCGAGTTTCTCCTTTCAGAAATTTATTCTTATATATTCATCTCCAAATCCAAATCTTGTTTATTTGAGTCTGGCTCGTCCGGATCTCGATTTGGTTTTTTTTTCCCCAGATTAATGGATGTTCGCAAGCGAGGAAGGCCTGAATCTGGCTTCAAAGCTAATGGCGGTGTCAAGAAGTCCAAGCGAGGTTCCTCCTTTTTCTTTTTGCTAAACTCTTATTTGCTATTTTCTGTTTGGTTGGAGAGAAAGTTGCGAAGGCAAAAGAAAATTGCTTCCTTGTTCAAGTTCAACTTTCTAGCTCTGCATTTTCTGGAGCTTAAAGTTCTCTTTTTTCAGTTCGTATAATTTAGGGTTTTTTATTTCTTTCTTTTTTACTTGCGGTATGTGATTTGTTTTGTCCAACTTTCTTGAAGAAAAATCGTAGAAAAAGAAATAACATAACGTTAAAAAGGAAGAAATATTGATTAGGAGGCAAAAAAAAAAAAGTAATTAAAACGTGAAGTTCTCAGAGTTTATTATTTGTTTGTTTTTTCAAAAAAAAAAAAAAAAAATAGTTTGTTGTTTTTTGTTCTTGTGTTGTGAATCTCATACAAATTTTTGGTAAATTTTTTTTTTTGGTAGGAAAATTTTTGGTAATTTAGTATTGAATATGATTTTATTATTATTATTATTTTGACATATGGTTAAGGTTTTAATTAGAATAGAGTAATTAGATTAAGAATTAAGTAAAGATTAACTGAGAAAACGTAACTAATGTGTTGTAACAGAACTGGAGTCCTTATCAACTGGTGTAGGAAGCAAATCGAAGCCATGCACCAAATTTTTCAGGTTCAAATCTCTCTTAATAAATCTTCTGAAATGCGTCTTCATTCTTTTCAGTTAAGCTATATAAGAACTCAAACCACACTTATTACAAGATAAAATTCTGTAAATTTGTAATTGCGCTTACGAACCGGAAATTTGTAGCTGTTTATACGAGTATATTCTTTGATGTTGTCTAATTTACTTCCTAAGAAAATCATTTTGTATTTATGAAGCACGATGATGATAACACAAGAATGTGCAAACTAAATTCTTATTTGATTGTTATACTTCTGGCTGAATTGGAGTTAACGTTTTATCATGTGAGTTGGGTAAGATATAATCTACTTGTAACTTTGCAGACTTTATTGGTTTGGAAACATAGTATATGCATTCAGGTAATCTTTGAAAATTCCACGAGGTTGTAAAATCAATGGACAGAATTATTTGTTGTTGTGAATTTGGTTTGCACTCAACCCCCAAGGGGTTGGCTTAGTGGTGACTGGTGAATCACTTGGGCTTAGTGCCTCAAGAAGCATTAGGTCTAAGGTTCGATTCCCATTGAGTGCTATCAATTCCTTGGGGCCATGCCTGTGGGCCAAAGGCTTGAGATTTACCCGATCCATGTGCAAGGGGTGCTCCGTGGATTTGTCGGGTCAAAAGTCCCAAACACCACAGTTACCCCCAAAAAAAAAAAAGGCTGCACTTTTTTATTCTCATGTGAGATGGGATTATTAAGGTTTGGAATTCGTTCTAAAATGATTTTGTTTTTTTGTATGAAAAAGGAAATAAAAACGTTTTCAATCTCAGACAGAAGTCATTTTTGAAAATGTGTTTGGTAGTTTTATCAAGAAATTATTTTCAGTATAAAAAATTCATTAATGTCTCTCTCCCTGCTTGAGAGAGGAGAAAACAAAAACAAAAAATAAAAAATGATTTTTTCGTTTTTCATTTCTCTCCCATTTTACACTAAACCAAAAAATTATTTTCATTTCCCTTTTTTATCTTTAATTGTGCCAAACGCCGTTTTGGAATCATTTTCATTTTTTCTTTCTCGAAAAACGTGAAAAACAAAAACAAAAACAATTCCAAACACGGCATAAGTCTCTTGTCGAATGCCTTGGATATTTTTATTTTTTCCTAGTAAAACCAGGCTGTATATTTTTTAATTTAGGTGGTCACTTGTCTTTGTACTTTGGACGTCTATTTTTTCGCTTATTTGTTACTCTGCTCCCTGTACGTTTTAGTGTGGGAGGTGAATAAGTGATATATTTTCAATTCTCATTTTGTGGAGACTAATTTGCAATGACTTGCCTTGTTCAGTTCGCCGATTTGAATTTCAATTTGGATTGAGATGTAACTTTGTAAGAGCTTTTGATTGTAGCAAAAAAAGTTAGATGTGACTTTTTGTGAGAGCTTTTGATTGTAGCAGAAAAAGTTAGATGTGACTTTTTGTGAGAGTTTTATATTGTAGTAAAACTGGAATTGAAACTCGAATCGGTGAAATGAACGAGGTAGAAAATTGGTGATGGATAAAGTAATGAACTGCATATGTATTTTCTTGTTTTGAGACGGCCTGCAGATAATAGATTTTGATGTGAAACAAAAAGAAAATGGAATTTACAATTTATGTTTTAACTTTATTAAGTTTGTCTCGTAATTGAGGTTTGTAAAGTGTTCGTTTTTGTATAGTATGAGCTGGTAAATAAACACTAACAATGTTCTTCTGGTTAATCACTTTGATCTGATTAAGCGTGATGTACTTCTGAATTGCAGTACCACGGGCTGTCCCTTTGGTGAAGGCTGCCATTTTCTTCACTATGTCCCTGGTGGTTATAACGCTGTTGCTCAGATGATGAACTTAGCACCTGCTGTCCCTCCAGCATCTAGAAACGCTCCGGCTGCAGCTCCTGTCGCAAATGGCTCTTCTGCACCCGCAGTTAAAACACGCATATGCAGCAAGTTCAATACTGCTGAAGGCTGCAAATTTGGTGACAAATGCCATTTTGCTCATGGTGAGTGGGAACTTGGCAAACCTGTTGCTCCATCCCATGATGATCCCCGTGCCATGGCTCCTCTCCCAGGTCGTTTTACTGGTCGAGTGGAGCCACCGCCACTGCCTCCACCTGGCCCCGCTTCTGGCTTTGGTGCGTCAGCAACTGCAAAAATCAGCGTAGATGCTTCCCTAGCCGGGGCCATCATTGGGAAGGGCGGTGTAAATTCCAAGCAGATATGTCGCCAGACAGGTGTCAAGCTTGCAATCCGAGAACACGAGTTGGATCCCAATCTCAAAAACATTGAACTAGAGGGAACTTTCGAACAGATCAACGCAGCGTCTGCCAGGGTAAGAGAATTGATTTTTAATATTTCTATGACTGCCCGGGCTAAACCTAGCGGAGTTACAGGGGGTCCTGCTCCTCCAGGAAACAACTATAAAACAAAGCTTTGTGATAATTTTGCTAAAGGCACTTGTACCTTTGGAGGTAGATGTCATTTTGCACATGGGGCTGCTGAATTGCGCAAGACTGTAGTGTGATGCCTTAGTTATAGCCCCCCCTTTTTTTTTTTTTTTTCTCTGGCTAGTTCATGGCAGAAACTGGATAGTAACTTTGTATCATTAGGAGCTCTGAAAATTGCCGCTTTGCAATGCAGTCTATTTTGACACTAATATACGAGAGATTTTAGCGTTTTGGTCCTTTTTGAACTTCCCTTGGTCGATAACTTTCCTGAACTTGTTTGGAACCTTGTTGCTTTTGTGATTAGACACTTAACTAGTGAATTGATTCCATTTTGTTTGGCTTCTTAAACATAAAAATTTCTTTATTTTTGAATAACGTTTGGGAAGGTTGAAACCAAAACATCCCCTTATTAACGATGCCGGTCTTTATGTTGAGGGGTACTTTTTTTCTTCATTTTTTATTTTATTTTTTCCACAATCATTAGCATATGTCATAACCAGTAATTATCACCACATTATTGCACTTTATACTCAATTGCAATATCAATAAGTATAAAAAAGTCAATATAGTCTGGCAAAGAATCCATTCAAATAAAATAATGAGTTTGAATACAAAATTAGCCCAACAGAAGGTTACAGAATTTTTTATTTGAGAATGTAGTAGATCCACTAGTAGCTATATAGCTACTTAAATCTATTAAGGCCTGTTCATTTTTAGCATTTAAGTTTAAAATTTGAGTTTTACTACAGTAAAAAATTATCATAAACAGTTACATTTAGGGTTTATTTAATTCATTGATTCGAGTTGAGATGTAAGATGTGATTGTTTCTGAGAGTTTTTTACTGTAGCAAAATTCGAATTCTAAACTCGAATTGGTGAAATGAACGGGACTTTAACTTTTTTGTTACAGTAAAAAACTCACATAAAATCACATCTCAACTCGAATTAACAAACTAAACGGACCCTAATAACTCGAGACAGTTTCTCAAACATCCTCAATAATAAAAGCTTCTAAGACCCTCGACGGCCATCTGATTAAAAACTATTATATACCATCCTGCCAAACCATCCGGGTGTGCTCTACCCGCTGCTAAACACCCTGCCAATGCCGGGAATATCTTCCATTACCCGGATTGCTGTCGCGCTAACGACACACCCAGCTTCATCACTACATTGTTATACTCTATCACTGTAAATTTATATCTCAATTTAGACATTCACCAATTATAGTTAAAAAAATACAAGTGACAACTAGCATTTTCTAAATTTTATTTTAAAAAGGTGCCATCAAATTTCATGTTGGCAGCGGCCGGGCAATTGCAGCGTTCACGTTTTATTATTTAGCACGTAAGAAGCAAGCTAATTCAAATTCAAGCCTTCAACTTTTACAAGTTCAAAATTACAAGACACCGATTATAACTCATTCAAGTTTTGAAATTACAAGCTAATTCAAATTACAAGACACCGATTATAACTCATCTTTTAGACATGTAAGTTTGCTTAGAGCAACTCAAATCAAACTATGTTAGTCATTTTATATTTTTAATTAAAATGATAAATAATTTAACTTTTTTTTTTTAACTTTTATTCTCTCTATTCATTAATTAAATCGTTAACTAAACGTTCACAAGAAAATCTTAAATTTGTATTTGTATTTTTTATTTTTTTAATGAAAAAGAGCTTCTTAAGATTTTTTTTATCAAGTGTCAAAAACACTCTCGTGAATTATCAAAAAAAAAAAAAAAAAAAAAAAAAAAAAGGACTCGTGGAAAGCTACTCTGACATTTCTTTATCATTAAGATAAGAAATAAGCAAAAGAAGGTTACATCACTAATTTAATTATCGTAAAACCAACAATGAATAACAACAAACAATACGAATAATTATCAAACGAAGAAAATAATCAAAACCTCGTCAATCCATTCAATTCATCAATTCATAAAAGTCACGATACTCCTATCCGACATCCCTCTTGACAAATTTGCCTTTTAAAAGCTCCCTTTTTTTTTACAATTTTTTTATTGTTATTATTAATTAATTATTATTTTATAGACCAAAGCGAGATAGAGCGAAGAGAGAGGTTATCACGTCTTGCGCGTCAATCTCGATGTGCCACGTGGAGGCTTCTGGGACGTGGATCCCACGCTGACGTGGTCTGGAAAGGAGAAGCTAGATAGAAAAAATATTTTTCTATTTTTCTATTTCTTTTTAAAATTTTTTGAGTTTTATGTTTTAAATTGAGAAAGTAGAGAGCGAGGAACAAGGCGCGGAGAGGCCGTCCGAAAACAGGCGCAGGAAATAACGAGGGAGAGAATAGAGAGAAGAAAAAAATAATTAAAAAAAAAACATAAAACAGCTTCTTCGTGTTCTTTTATTTCTGAACCGAAGTCCGCGTTCCCGTTTTCGTTAGCTCACCTCGATTTTAGGGCCGGCGAAAACATTTTCCCGGAAAATAGAAAAGAAAATCGAAAAATTTTCGGAGGAAAACAAGAAGAGGAAAAAAACCAAACACAGTCCAGAAAATAGAAAAGGATTAGAAAGAGAAGAAGAAGATACGAAAAACGGATCAGAAAGAGATAAATTATAACGAAGAAAGAAATTGATTTTGGCAGAGATCTTTCTGATCGCAATCGTCCGCTTGCATTTGGAGCTGCATTTTTCAGTTCGTAGGAATTGTTGATTGTTATTTGTTGATTTTGCTATTATCAATCGTTTTTAGAATCGATTTTTGTGGAGAAAGGGGAAATCGATTTGAAGGTGGTGAAGCGAGATGCGATCCTTCTAGAAGAGTGTTCTAGGAGGGGTTCGGATCTGGTGGGAGAAGCAAATTGTGTGTGTCGGATGAGAGAGAAGTCGCATGTTTCAGCGATCGAGAGGGAAAACGATGAAATGGGTAACATTGCTTAAGGATATTAAAGAGAAGGTCGGTCTAACCCAGTCTCCTTCTTCGTCCTCTTCCACTGCTAGTGCTTCTTATTCTTCGCTGGCTCCCTCTTCTTCGGCTCGCGATAACAATGCTCTTTCAGCTCATCAAGGCTCCTTGTCTTCCCCTGAAAGGTCCACTCCCATTTTCTCCTTTTACTTTTTTCCATTTTTTTAGTTTATCATCGGGAATTACAGAAACAAAGTTGAAATTTAAATCTGATTGAACTGGGCGGCTCTGAGTGATGCATTGATTATCTATTTTGTTCGATCAAACATGGGGTTTTTGTGGGGTTTAGGCATGAAAGGTGAATTTTGTGCTTAAGTGGTTTTTAAAGGGCTTTGTTATTGCTTAAGTTGACGTTTGTCCGTACCCACAAGGTGCTCAGTGACTAGTCATTTTAGGGAATTTTAAGTGAAGGATCACGAGACTGGTTGGAAATGCATTGCAATCCTAAGTAGTGAGAGTTAGGTATTATGCCGTTGATATCTTAATTCGGAAATGCATTTTTATAATTTGATGAAGTAAACAAATGCTCTTGCGTTGGTGAATTGATACTGAACATTATTTTTCGTGAAGAATAATTATTTTTCCTTTATGGGAAAATGCTTTTCTGTTGTACTGTGCCAAGTTCTTATATATAGCTCAAGGTTAGCAATGAGTGTTTTGGTAAGGATTATGATGCTAAAGATTTTAAGAGTATTTGGAAATGAGACAACGGTGTAGCGTAATGCATTCGATTGAACTGGAATTGGATTTCAAGAGATTTTGGGAAGAGTTTCGGTCATCTAGCTTGAAAAGGTTTTGATTTGATCATGTTCCTTTGTTATTCATTTGGAAACCCCTATTTGTGCTAATGGTATTTTCGTGATATGTGCAGGAGAAAGAAACGGCCTTGTATCTTACTGTAAAAATTCCTAAAAATTGTATATTAATTTTAAAATGTAAAAGATAAATAAAAATATAAATTTTTGACCCATCCCGGCTCCTGAGTGTCTTACTACGCAGGCCGGGGCTTTTCGACAGCGTTTTTCTTTTCTTTTTGTCATTTTTTAGGCCATTTTTTACAATCATGTCAAGAAAAATGTGAGGATCGTGTTCGCAAAATTTCATAATTTTTTAACATCGTTTTTATTTTATTTTATTTTTCAAAGATGAAAAATAAAGAAAATAATAAAAAATAGAATATTCATAAAAAAAAGAGTGTTGCTTGTTGCATTACTTCATAAAAATCGTATATTAATTTTAGAATGCAAAACATAAATAAAATGTAAATTTTTGACCCATCATGGCTCCTCGGCGCCATATTACGCGGGGCGGGGGATTTTTAATAGCGTTTTATTTTTTTTTGTCATTTTTTGCAGGCATGCCTAGAAAAATGTAAGAATCGTGTCTGTAAAATTTTATAATTTTTTGACGTCGTTTTTATTTTATTTTATTTTATTTTTCAAAGACGAAAAATAAAAAAAATCATAAAAAAATAGAATATTCATAAAAAAATGGTGTCACTTGTTGCATTAATTCTTAAAAATTGTATATTAATTTTAGACAGCAAAACATAAATAAAAATGTAAATTATTGACCCATCTCGGCCTTTGGGTGCCTCATTATGCGGGGCGGGGGTTTTTTGACAACGTTTTACTTTTTTGTCATTTTTTGAGGCCATTTTTTGCGGGCATGTTCAGAAACATGTAAGGATTGTGTCTGCAAAAATTCATAATTTTTTTCATCTCGTTTTTATTTTCTTTTATTTTTCAAAGATGAAAAACAAACAAAATCCTAAAAAATAGAATATTCATAAAAAAAAATGGTGTCAGTTGCATTAATTCTTAAAAATCGTATAATAATTTTAGAATGCAAAACATAAATAAAAATGTAAATTTTTTACCCATCTTGGCCCCTAGGCGTCACATTACACAGGGCGGGGGCTTTTTGACAGCATTTCATTTTTTGTTGTCATTTTTAGGCTATTTTTTGTAGGCATGCCCAGAAAAATGTATGGATCGTGCCTGTAAAATTTTATAATTTTTTGACGTCGTTTTTATTTTATTTTATTTTTTAAAAAATGAAAATAAAGAAAATCATAAAAAAATAGAATATTCATCAAAAAATTGTGCCGCTTGTTGCATTAATTCCTAAAAATTGTATATCAATTTTAAAATGCAAAACATAAATGAAAATGTAAATTTTTGACCCATCTCGGCCCCTGGGCGCCCCACTACGCAGGCCGGAGGCTTTTTGACAGCGATTTTCTTTTGTTTTTTTTTTGGTCATTTTTTGGAGGTCATTTTTTGTAGGCATGCCAAGAAAAATGTGAGGATCGTGTCTAGAACATTTCATAATTTTTTGACATCATTTTTATTTTATTTTATTTGTCAAAGGCAAAAATAAAGAAAATCATAAAAAATAGAATATTCATAAAAAT